TTCTCACAAAAAAAAAAAAAAAAAAAAAAGGCTTAATAAAAAAGAATCAAATGTTGACACTGTCTCATCTTGAATTCGGATCTAGTTTTTTCCTCCAATGGCTTTAAGAACAACAATCCTCATGCCATCCATTTCCCCCTTAAAGAAACAGTTTCCCTCCACAAAAGGAAACCATTTCTAAGAAAAACAAAAACAACCCTTCGAGTAGGTAGCCATGCTTTCTCTTTTATTAGAGTTCACTGTATCTTAAAGTCCTTTTCTCTCTTCACTTAACATTAGACATTAGGTAAGGGATTTTCTCTAGTAGCTAACTCCTATTTTTTATGTTGGGTTGCAGTTTCCTTCATTCCTTTCTATATTTTGTGATTTGGAAAAAAAATTAACTTTTAAAGCCTTCAAAATTTATATATTTTTTTAAAAGATTTTCAAACTATATTCACTGTTTTTATATTTCCCCTCAACTTAAAAATTTGGAATCGGGAGTTTTGCAAACAAATAATGGTGTTGATGTATTGCATTTTATTAAAATGATGCAACTTTTTGGAGCTGCTTATAAATATTGTAACAAAATAGTTATTATATTCTGGAGTTATCTTGTTGTCAAATTTTTCATTTCCTGTCCCTCTATACCAAGAGTTACAATACCTGGATACCTAAACTACACCTTCACGTTTATTTCTCACATGAAAACACCACCGTTATCTTTTGTTAAACAGCCTTGAGAATATGGGCATCCAGCTCATGAAGCCACATTTTACCTAATCACAAATAATTGGCAAGTGATTGGGAATATATTAGGATCAGACTCTGTTACCAATATATCATCTCTTTAATCACATGCTTTGAGTGTCAACTTTAGAAAAGTTGTTCTATATAAAGTCATTTGCGCACTGGACCTGTTTATCCTATAACCATGAGACTCTACAAATCAGCATTGTATGTTGTAGGTGCCTGTGGGTGAAAGACCATTTTTTTAATGTATGATCTAAACTGGCCTGTATGTGAATTGATTCATGGTAGTACATTAACATCAGCTATATAACTCACATAGGAAAGTAGTTGTTTAACACTGTGTTCTTTCAATAGACGAACAAGGTGATTAAAAAAACAAAAACAAACCCACACCAGAACAATGACCCCAAAATGTAGATCAATGAAATACTGAGATGTTCTAACGATAAAGCATAACAAGTACTCTTTTACAACATGAAGTAGCTCCAACAACATTTCTATAAAACCACCGACACTTGATGTTAATCACGACTACAAGAGAACAACAAATATTTCCAGGACAAAAAAGCACTTAGATTTTCATCACTTAGAGATGGTGCATGAACTGACAGAATTAATAGATTTTCATTAGACTCACAACCAAACATTTTGAGCCTGACAAAAACTTTGAGTATAGCCTACAATCCTAAGGCTGGACGAATCTTGAAAGTCATCCACCCAGCTACTAATCAATCCATAATCAAAATGGCCCAGCTGGAAGAGAGTTATATAGGATTATCAACATCCTTCTCAAACTTTGGAGACATATTGCTTTGGTTTTTTTGAATCTTATTTATGCATGGAAGCTCCCATTGTCAGATCAACATCTGTGTCTGCTTCTTCAGCACAAAGGGATACTGGGGGTCACCATGTTCTCTGTGTAAGCCCTACCCATTACTACAAATCGCTATCATACTACTCCTAAATCTTTCTTGTCCTTCCTGGATAATTCCACATCTGTCATGTTTTCCTCACATATCATATTTTCCAAACTCTCCAAGTTCCCCATGCAGCTCAAAACTTGTATTGCCAATTGGACACAGTATCCAGGAAAGGTCTGACCACTTTGTGTGGAAGGAAAGGATTACATCATTATTACTCGTACTATTATCCATAACAAAAACATTAAGAGGAAAAAAAATAAGCAGTGAATCATACAATTATCTCAAATGACCATTCTAGTGGGTGAACTCACTTGTGTTGATGAGAAACTGATTGGAGACACCAGGATGATCAACATCATGGATCGCAGCTGCAAAAATGGCTGCCAGGATTTCCAAATCTGTGAAGACAGCCTGGGGAGCAAAAAAGTGCATTTAACTTCATGTCTCATTCACCAACTGTAAGCATTGAGTTTCATTTAAAACATATGATATCATTCTGGTTGGGAGAAGTTTTGTTGATTTACATAATGTCTGACCATGTTAACTTAATTAAGATGTTGATCTGTTTATCATCTTGAGGTCTCCGAAGTGACAGAGACGATGGTCAGAGCTCAATTCCAACTCAAGCCCGCAAGGCAGGATTTGGAAAGGCAGTAGCAGGATGCCCATGGTTTATGGGAATATTGGATATGTGTTTCCTGGATAGATGGTATGGAAGTTTTCTGATTAAGTAAGTCAAGAAAGGAAGTCCAGTTTTCCCTGCTTGGGACTATAATAACCTTCATAATATTTCCAGCTGAATATCTTAGAAAACAAAGATCAAGTCATAGACTTATAAGACTAAAAGTAGATTATCTCCTAAAACTCAAGTGACAGTGTGGTCAGAAGCTTCCAAATATTCATCTATCTGTTCAGTCAACAATTGTGAATGCTATGGGCAAGATTTCAGAACGTTTGAAAGGCAGAAACCTAATGTTCCCTGGTCAACTCCTTCTTGGAATGTTGTGAAGGCTTCTCTGCCTCCACCCATGGTCAATGAATTAAATCTAGGTTTTTTTTTAAGTATATATCATTACGTTCCCCAGGTTAAAAAAAATTTCTTTTCTCATCCTCTGTGATTACTTAAATTTACCGATCCTTCAAGTGCCAGCTCAGATGCCACCTCTCCCAGGAAAACCAATCTAATTACTCAAGGACCTATTAAGCTCTTCTCTAAATTTCTGTGCCGCTAATAAAGAATTCCTGGTCACAGAGGAAGTAGTAGTCCATCAACATCAGTGCACAGTTGATGAACAGTGTTGATCCACTTAAACAGAACATAAATATACTATTATTCACTTTCTTTGGGAGGGAGGATAAAAGACCCTTAGCTCAACCCTCACTTCCTTAAATCTTCCTGGGTTTCTTCCAGAAAACATGGAACCCAAGTGCGTGGTCAATTTAATCTTTCCTTGCCCCCTAAATTGAGCATGCACGAGTGGGGCTGGATATGGTTTAATCATCAATTCCTGCAATGAATCAGTGCATCTGGAAGTGTCTGACCACCATCAGCTCCATCTGTCAAGTAAGATCCTGGCCTGCTGGGTACACTAATGATTGGACTGGTGTATGAAATGCAAGAGGTGTTAAGGGACAGAATGATAATCCGTGGTCTCATATCTTGTCTAGCAAGATAAAGCACTGTATCGTTCTGTTTCACTGTCTTCTCTGCTTCAGCAGTTTGTCTTAAACATTCAGTAACTTTTTGTTTTTCCCGTAACAGAATCATTTTTGTGCGTCTATAAGAGAATAATGCTATAAACATTTACCCTTAGCAGGAATAATATAGAAAACTTTATATTCATTGAAATGCCTCACTGTGCAAGGTATGGTTTTGTTTCAGTTGACTATACGGATGCATAATGAAGGAGCTCTGGGGGTCTAATGGATAAAGAGTTGTACTGCCAAGACAGAGTTGGAATGCACTAGCTGCCCCAAAGTAGAAAGATGGGCAATTTCCTCCCATTCGGATCTAGCGACTCCGAAAACTCACTAGAGGGTGAGCTATGGGTCAACTCCAACTCAACAGCACTTAGCAACAACAACAACAACAACAACATATGCATAATGAAGATATACTATGTCCTAGACACCAAACTAATCACTTTGAGAGTAAAAATACCATAAGGAATAAGCTATTTTTCCTACCCTGAAGATTATACTAAACGCTAAATCAAGAAATAGTTTTAAATTTGCAAACAATATAAAAAGAAATTTGCTCTTGTATTTGAAGCAGAAGAAATGGAACTGTCATATCTTTTTATAAACAACCCATTTGCTGAGTGTTATTATATAATAACAAGGGAGTTGTGGTGCCACAATGGTTAAGTGTTTGATTGCTAACCTAAGTTCCTAGTTCAAAAACATCAGCTTTACAATTTTGGAAACTCTTTAGGGAATTTCTGCTCTGTTCTGGAAGGTCATTGTGTGCCCCCATTGTTTCAACAGGAGTGAGTTTTGATATATGTAATAAAGAACTTTCATACCATTCACAACATGTCAGTCAGTTAATTACATTATTTTTTTTTTTTTTATGAACTGCCCATCACATGAAACTTTAGAAAATATGTGGGCAGGTATAGAAACAGATCACAACTACTTACATCTAATGCTGGCGTAGAGAGAAGAACATGAGTCGACTGGGCTACATCAGCAGCATGTAGGCTGTTATGATACGCCACATCAGAATGGTAATGGTCTTCTAAAGTCATCATGTAGGTCACAAATGTGTCAGATGAGATTTTGAATGTCTTTAGGAGGTCTCTTTCCTACATAGTAAAATAAATTAGAACATAAGTGAATGTTCAGAAAGGGAGTGCAGTCAAATCAGAAAACAAATCGGATTTTTTTTAAAAAAAAGTCATAAGTCATTCTAATGGTCAACCACCTTTTGATCCCATTTACTCACCTGGAATATGGCATACATGATGCATGTTAGGGGCCTGTTGTGTGAATATCCAGCCACATTGAAGATGTTAAGGCCCCATTTATTCAAGTCCTCCAGCTCCTACACACAAAGTTAGAGGATGTTAGTGATAAAGCTGATTTTTTTCCATATCTCATCGTTATTCACTTCTTTGTCAAACAACAGCTAAGACTCTAAGGTGCTCTAGTTGCCTGAGAATCTGAAAAGTGAGTGATCTCGGATAGTGAGTACCTTCTTCATGGCAGTGACCAGTCTGTTTTCTCTGAGAAAGGAAAGGTATGTGAATTTTTAAATATTTAGTGGATGGACTATATTTTCCATACATAAGTCCTCAACTAAAACTGCTTTCAGAGGTAGTTTTGAGTGGGCAGAGAGGTCTATAGGTTCACTTTTCTGTCTTGCCCTTTGTGGCTCACTGGCCCATTACTAATAACCTTGGAAACTCCTCCAGTCTGCTCATTGTCACTGAGAGCCGGGTTAGGGAGGCAGGGCTGTCAGAATGTGCATAAGTCAACCTCACTTTAGGGGAAAACTTTAAATGCAAAAGGTCATGAAGAATTTCAGTCGTGCATTTTACTCCTGAATACGGCAAGAACTAGAAGACCCATCATCCTGTCCGATGTCATCATCTTATTTCATGAGTATCTGACTCAAGGAGAAATTTATTCTTTTCTTAATTCTTGCCCAGAATAATGGTTCCAGGCTCCCATCAGAGGTTCAGGCCAGTGTTCAATCAATCTTATTCTAACAACAAATTCCAGAAGGCCTCGGTGAATGCTTATGTGTTCACATTAAGTTTCTTTTGTAAGCTCACAAAGATAAGAGGATGTTAGCAGTTGTCTTGCAGAGTCTTTTAAAGAAGGTACCAATCCTTTCATCTTTAACTACTGGGATTGAGGCTCAAGAGTGCTGTCAATTTCTCATCATTTCCTTCCCAGTCTCTCAAATTGGCCTGGAATTTTCCATTGACCATTGGCACACAGTCTCTGAAATTGCCTCAAAGATGATTCAATCATGCTTGCTGGCCTCCTTTTGAGTTGCACAGTGTTCCTTCAACAGGGTTCTCCACTCTTGAGGAACAGTCCTTAGGGAACAGCACTCAATTTAGGAAAAAAAAAATAGCTTCACTATAGGAGAAGAACCTTCAACTAGGAATCCTAGCAATGGGCAACTGCCTTAATAATAAAGCAAAGACAATCCCTACTGTTTTCTAACAGGCAATTTCCAAGTGTCTACGTCTCTGCTGCTCAATGAAGAACTACATGCACAGGAGTCCAGCTGATACTTGCCTTGGCCAGATGATCTTCATTCTCTGTGTTGACTCCAAAGCGTGAGATGCTTGTGTTGTTTAAGCTTGAGCTGTGCATCAGTTTTTTCACTCCACTGATCTGTGTCATGAGCTGCTGTTTTTTCTTTTTCTCCCTATCTTTTTGGGTTGGAGATGGAATCTCCACATCATTCTGCTTGTCTGCGAGAAAAAAGGGGATAGCTATTTCAAAACATGCTTGCAAGTGATAGTTTACTACAATACTAAAAATAGCTTCCAACAGACTGATGCAAGTTATGGCTTAACAGGGGCATTAGAGCTTTATCACACAAACTTATGAGGTAGGTGGGGGAAATAGGATGGTTCATTGCCTCATCTTGTTAATCAGACTGAGGGCCACAAGATAAGGAACTTGTCCAAGAAGTGACGCCTGTTTACAGACTGACAAGAGAATTACACTTGTACGTTTTCAATGTGAAACGTCAATATTGGCATTTAGACTTGTTATTAAAAGGAATACTGTGATTATAAAATTGCAAAATTCATACAGTAAAGACCAAGTTAACAAAAATCATCATCTATACAATTTACTGTATGCTTATTTATTTTTTTATTTTAGAAATCAAAGAGGCATTAGCGGGGCTCAGTTTAGATGAGCAATGTCTATATCATAAGTGGCCCATACTCCTCAAACAATTACCTAAAATTTCTGATTTATGACAAATTGAATTTTAGAGAGCAGAGCCTAATTTCAGTTTTATTTGTTATCATGTATCTCTTAATTCTACCAAAACCAAATTATATCCCTGTCTCTCAGTAGAAGAAGGCACTATATTTATTAAATGATGTGTTATTATTAAATATTTATAAAAATATCATTTAATGAAAAAAAAATTTACTATAATATGATAGTAATGAAGTTAGGAAAGATGAAAACATGTCTTCTTGCCCAAAGAAGCTCTTTCCTCCATGTTATTAAAAACATCAGCAATCAAATCTTTTATTTCACCTCAAAGGAGATGTATTTTGAGCATTTCTGGAAAACACACATGAAGTTTTTCAGGATACAGGGATGTAGGTGAGTGCACTGAAGTACTTAGTTACTAAATTTTTCAAGAGCTACTTCACTGAACTAAAATGCATGACCATGTAGCTTAAAAAGTTAATGCAGCTTTCAGAAAATCTTAGCCTTCATGGTGCAGAGGCTAAGGTTTGGTTGCTAACCTAGTATTGTGAGTTCAAACCTACCATCTGTTCCAAAGAACAAAGATTTACAGCCTTGGAAATCCCATGGGGCAGTTCTATTCTTACAGGGTTGTTTCAAATAGCAGTGAACTGAATGGCAATGAACATTGGTGACAGTGAAGATTAGCATAATGACAGCTTCTCAGTTTGAAAGTTACATACTTCCAGATAGCATTCTGGGATCTAGATTCTTTGCTTTTAGACTCTTGTAGATGATGGATCATCAAGTATTCTCCCTAGAGACCTCCATCTGCTTACAGGTCCCTGTGGGCATTGCATCATAATGCAATCAAAACAAGGACATTGTGACAGTCCCAGCCTTCATGTGTATCTCATTGCCTGGCTGCAGGCTAAGGAGAAGAAACTCCTGCCACTAGCATCCTGGTACTGTCTCTAGAGGCCCATGAGCTCCTAGACCCACAGGCCTATGACTTTAGTTTAAGGAGGCATTTCAGTGGTCATTTCATTTAATTTGGCAGTTTCCAATATTACTTCAGCACCATCAGAAGCACCCAAGGAACTTTCAGAAAACACAAATTCCTAAGCTTCATCCAGCCACATATTCAATCAGTACTTTTTTTCAAAAGCTTCCCAAGTGAGGATCAGCCAGGAACCTATCATAATCCACACTCTCACTTTTCACATGAAGTCAGCAACTTGCCCAAGCTAAAAGGGCAATCTATTCAACAGATATTTATTTTGCAATTACTTTGTTCCAGACACAGTGATTTAACAGCACAAAACCCAAGGCTTGAGATTCCTGTTAAAATCTCTTGCCTGTGTCGTGATCTCTGGCAGAAAAACCCATATATTATTTCTGAAATGATTTTTTCCCCTCCTTCTTACTTTGTTCCTAATAATTTCTATTTAATGCTCAAAGGAAAGAGTACAATAGCCTCTATCTTTCCGACCACTATGCGTGTCTGGTTAAAGATGTTGTTGGATTCTCACGTGCCACTGCAGAAGGAACCAGCAACAGCACTATCCTAGCAGCTTTCCCCTTTTAATTAAAGATTCCCTGTAACAGCAAGTAATTGAGCTGAACCACGGTTGTGTCTGGAACATTTCAATAAAGAAGAAAGCCATTATTCACAGTGAGTGCCAATTCGACATTAATGGGTGTTCCCCAATGCAGGCCATGGAACAACTGATCAGTTTTCCTTTCTGAATTTCCTCTCTTAAATGCTCAACCATCACAGTGGGGAAATAATCTGAAACACAGATGAAAGGAATCCCAAGAAACACTTCATTTAAATTCACAGAACAGCCAGAATGTGGTGGGGAAGCCATTGACCGCTATAAAACAGACAAACAAAACACCAGATCCAGGAAATGCTCTTAAGTGAGAAATGCTAATGTCAGAGGGTTTTACTTGCTAGATCACAGCAAGCTATGATGCAAAATGACTAGGCTTTTCTCCTTGCCTCTTGAAATGTCTAAGTTTTAGCTTTTCAGAGGGTAGGTTGGGGATGTGGAAGAGTGTTAATTTCATTTTCTATATATTAAAATATTAAGGAACACCTTGAGACTATGGCCGTTTATGCATTCTTCAAACCAAGACCTAGGCCCACTGCCAAACAGCCTTCAGTCAAACAATGCTGTTGTTCATTGCCACTGAGTTGGAACTGACTCATAGCTGACCCTCCCCAGCAGGGTTTTCAGAGGCTGTAAATCTCATGGGAGGAGACTGTCCATCTTTCTCCCATGAAACAGGTAGAGGATTTGAAGCACCTGCTTCTTGTAATACATTCTATTTCATGAAAAAATCCTACAAGCCTAATTCTTAGATATTTCTCAGAAATACACACACACACACACACACACATATGTATAACTTAAATGTTTCTAAAATACACATTTCTTTTATATATTTTCTGAGTTCCTTACAGACTTCTTTTCTAGCCCAGGTATTAGTCTCTTAAGTGCTAGACCTAAATACTCCACTGGCCTGATGTCCTGGCTTAAGAATATATTAGCTGTGTGGCTTTGATCAAACTACTTCATCCCTCAGGGCTTCAATTTTCTTCCCAGCAAAATGAGGGAGTCAGCATCCAGGGCCCGTGACTTCCCTTGCTTATCTGACCCTCAATGAAAATGGAATGTGCATTTGTAGTCTGGACGCATGTTCTTTCATTGGTTTATTTTCAAATGTGTTGAATGGTGAGTCTAGGGTTAAACTCTGGGAACCAGTTGCCGGGTTCAATTCTATCAAACTGCCCAGCAGTCAGTTCCTATCAGGACAATCTTATCAGGAAGGCATCTGAGATGCCATATATGGCATCTCACTTTATGATCATCCCATATTACAGATAGGGGAATTGACACAACTATTTAAATATTATTTCACTTTTTCTTATTATAGTCTCCCAAGGACATTTAGAATTCTCGTCGTCCTTTCTAACTTGTTTGTTCAGCTCTACTTATTACCTTTCTAATGTAAACCATCTCCATGAAGTGAAAGTCTAACAAACTTCATAGCTTGTCCTTGAAAACTTCTGTTGTTGTTATGTGAAAACTAGTTTTTTAATAATAATAAACAAAGTGAGTTGTTTCTCTCATGAGATGTGTCCAAACAGTAAACACACTATTTAAGAGTTGACATTTGCTTGCATAATGTTAATTATACATAAGGATATATTATACTTTATGCAAATGTATGTATATTATACATTATACATATATAATATATGTTATACATTATATAATACATAGTTCTATAATATATATTATATAGTATACATTACATATGTCATATATATTATATAATGTATATATTATACAATTAAGAAGTAGAAATTATATATAAGTGAATACTATGCAATTATACATAAGTGTTTACACTGAGAGCTAATCTTTATTATCAGTTTTCTTGCTTGAGAGCCTATGATTATTTAATAAAAAAACCAACCACACAAACCTGAAGATTAATAAGTGCATAACTATTGTTGTTCTTGGCAAAGGGAGAGTGAAAAAGGCTAGAGAAGACTGGAGAGGTCCAGTCTTAGATTACTGAAGACTCAGGGACTTCTCAGTAGGGAGTGTCTCCAAAAGAAGGACAAGTTCTGACATTTTAAAATGTAATTTTTATGTAAGCAGCTGGTTATTGCATTTGCTGACCTTGTCCTCTCTCATACCCATTAACCTGTAAAAGCATCCCTAAAGCAGCCTCCAGTTTGTGAAAAACAACAGGATGTTGGGCAGATCAAGGTATAACCGCAATGGTTAGTAGAAGATGCCTATCTTCAGGGCAGTAAGAGGGAAGAAGGAAGAATAAAAGGATCAGCATGGAATGTTTTCTGTTCAATTAGAGTCTAGCCATTTCTTAGAGTAGGGCTGTAAGAAAAAAAATTCTCCTTTGTTCTCTGACACAAGGTTGTCACAACTGCAGCTGGAGAGAACCAGGTGCTGCAGACACCCACATACTGGAAGCAGTTGGAAAGGCACTTGTTAATTGTGCCAGTGCCAATCTGCTGCAGAGTAATGTGATGGGCTTTGTACTGGGCTGTGCAAGGAGGAAGCTGATTGATCTGCTGATAGCAGGAACTGCTTTGGCATTAGAGAAACAGGATTGATTTTTAAAAATAAATAAATAAAACCCAAAGAGGTATGTGCTTCCATAAAGCATCAGAGTAAATTAAGCTCATCAAGGCAAGGAAATGTTCATCGGTTTAATGACATGTGGTCATGGCCAAAAAAAGATGGGAGATGTGATGTTCAACTGTGAATGGACCATTTCCCTGAAAAGTGGGATTCTTTGACAAAATAAAATTTAGCCATAATTGAAATTCAGCAGAACCAGAATTGAAATGGTATCCATTCACTTTAACATGCAGATTCTTCAGCCCTTATTCTACCAAAATATAACCTAAATAGGTTGATGATATAAATAGCATTACCGTTAAGCAAGATATCAGATATCAATAGTAATCAAATGGGATACATGACTATGGTTGAAGATCATTCATGTAAGTTATTTCCTGTCAGTGTCATGTGCTAAATGTTAGCAATGTGGCAAGTGAAAATGGTAGATAAAGACTTAGATAAGGAGGATAGCAATGCTGCTTATACAAAATAAAATCTTTCTGAAACAGCTTCTCTCTCTTTTCCCTCCATTCTCTTATCTTTAAGAAATAACTTCACAATAGTCACATTTCCAAAACTAATTCTCATGGTTCCAGTCCCTGGAAGAGTTATTACCCTGTCATACTCCTTACAGGCCTTCAAAAAGGAAAAAACCTTTTTTTCTCAAAGTCCAGGTACTGAAAGCATTCAAAGAAGACTCAAAGGAGCGGTTAGAGCTACCCCTACTGTTGGAGTAACTGCGGGACCCCTCCTCCAACCTTCAGAGGTGTTGGCAGAGATGCAAGTGGGTGGGTAGATATGGTATGTGAGGTTCATATAAATACAATCAGCCCACTAAAAACTTTCTGTCTTGGTTAGGGATTTTCATTCTTTCACCATCATCTTATTGCTTAGATATTCTTCCCCTTTAAAAATTGTCCACCCTTCTTAATTTAAATGGATTTTCTTTTTTGTGACTTAACTCCACCTCAAAATTTCACAGGGATGCTCCTGATGGGCTGCAGAAATTTATACAGAAAAACTTCAATTATGGGAACATGCCCCAGTTAACATCTTACCTAAGAAAGTATTGGAAATGTATTCTGACACCTGGTTCCCTGATCGGCTCATCTCTGACAGGTGTGTCAGTTCCCGGTTCAGCATTCTTTTAAACTGTGCACAAAAAAACCAAAAATGCATTAACCACTAAAGTATGCATATTATCACTTAAGCTATCTTGAACTTTCATGTATAAAGGACATGAAATTGGATAAACAGATATCATTAGATGAGTGACACTACTTCTACAAATATGATAGCATTTTAATTAAAAATTATTCCAATGTCACCTTAGAGAAAAGGGATTTCCTCAAGATTTCTTAAAATTAACATTTTCTCTCTTTTTGGAGATGCAAACATAGAAAAAGGAATTTCCAGATCAGTCAAGATTATTTCACTTGAGCAATAAGTACATTTAAAAAAACACATTGAATATTAGCCCTAACATACAGCTGAATTTAATCAGTAAAAAGATATTGTATGTGAAAAATTTAAGGGAATACCAAAATGAAAATAGCATCCTTTTAAAAAGAGAGCTGAGAATAAGATTGATATAATACAGCAGAATATATTTAAATACAGTGTCATATAACATGCCATTATTTCACAATAAATAGCCTCAGTGGGCTAAGTGACAACACAAATTAAATCATTACAGATGGGTTCCACGCCACAGAAAACATACAGATCTAAATGGTTTGTATTCTACCAAACACACATAATAGAAGCAAATTAACCCACCTTGATGTAACCCCAAGATACAGATAACAAATAGTTTGCCTCAGGCATTTTGGAATGCACTGCTTGCCACAATCCACAAATCCCTTTGGAAGAATTCACAGAGAGAAAGCAATCTCCAGAGGACCACAAAAGCCCTGCAGATCCAGTGGTAAAATCATCAAAACTTAGAAAAGATAAAGCCTCCAAAACTTAGGGCATTTCCTAATCCAAACAAAGCCCATCTTCGGAATCCCTTCTTGCAAGAAGCCTGTGCTCCCCGCTTATTTCCTGGCAGAGGAGAGTAATGAAATCAGGGATTGCACGAAGGTTCTGCAAGAGCCTGTCCAAATGTATTCAGCTGGCTGGTTTAAAGCACTTATAAATTATGAATAGTCCCAGTGGCCGAAGGGGTTTCCAGTTTATATTAGTCCTGCTCAGCTGAACTCTGCAAGGAAGCAGCAATTCTCCTTTCCTGAGGGGTTGCCAGACTGGGAAACACAGCCATCTTTTAAAAAGAAGAAGATTAAGATGGAGGAAGCCCCATGAATATTTAAGTAAATCTGAAGTAGGTATCCTCCCTCCTCTCAACTAGGTGCTCCTTAACCCTCTCTACTGCTGAGACCAGTACTTTGCAGAGGCAGCCTCCACACAAAGCTCAGTGGCTCTGATTGTTTCACAGGGACAGTGCATTAGGCTCATTTACTTCTCCAGCATTTTTTAAAAAAAACCGAAAACCGTTAGAACTGTGGATGTTTTCACACGAGCCTTTCAGTATACTAGATTCCCCCCCCCCCAGTAGTTTTTAGGGATCTTGTTTGCAAATCAGCACATATCTAGTGTATGTGTATCCACATATCTAGTCTTCTTCACAATGAAATGAATAGGAATAGAATGAATTTCTTTCCTTTTAAAAGTGCATTCATGAGTTGCCTGCAATTTTCTGTGCTCCAGTAGATCATTAATATGCATATTGGGCTGCATTTGACTACGTACATTTATGTTTCCATTTGCTATAGAATGGATCAGGAACCAGCAGGTACCATTTGCTGAACGAATGATGAATTATTTGGGATTGTGACCTACTATGCTTTGTTTTTTGTAGGTTCAAGTTGTATTTAATCTCAAGAATACTCATAAGTGACATGAATTTTAATTTTTTTTAAAAACAATCTAAGGGATGTTCTCCCTCTCTCCCTTTCTTAATAGTTTGACAGTACAAGCAAGAGAGAAGACTAAATAAATCTCTAAAGATGTGGGACTCCCTCTCTATTCATTCGCTTTACATTTACTTCCTTGTTCCTCCCTTTTACGCCACCCTGGATACCAGGAGTTCAAGGACAGCATGTTAAAAGAATAGCAAGACACCATGGCAACAGCCCCTACATGAAATTGGCTCTCTTCTGGAAGGCTTTCCCTTTCCAGAGAAGCATCCTATACTGACAGTGACTTCACTTCAAGCATCCAATCCTCAGTCATGCTATTGCCTGTGCCCAGGAGACCTGGCCTTTTGAGGTAGCACCAGTGCCAAGTCAATATTGCTGCGCACTCATTCACTGAACTATACACTGTCCTTGGAGAGGCGCAGTCGTCTTCTTTCTAGAATAACCTGCTTTTGTGCATGTGTGTTTGCCGTGGTACAACATGTTACAATATGTTAGGGACAGTAACCAGATATTTCTGAACCAATCAGTTTAGCAAGTGTGCTTTCCTTATTGAATATCTGTGCAATTCTGAACTCTAGGTACATTCCATGGTACTTATTTTTTTAACTGTTCAAGCACAATAGACTTTGACTTTTTGGTCTTTCAAAGTGAGGTGGTTACACACAAGATTCAGGAGCTAGAAAAGACAGAGGGTTTTATTTGTATTTTGACTTATCAGCTGAAATTTGGCAAAGCAGAAAACTTTACTTAGATCACTGTTAAAAAATATCTTGTGAAAGGCTTCCAGACAGATGATTTCTTTCATAATTAGATCTGGGCGCTAGATATAGTCAAACGAAACATTCAAACAACCATCCTCACTTGGTGTATTCGGGTATCTTTGATGTATTTAGGAATAATTTGGAGACGATCAGGATTATATTAGTTAAAGAATGCTATTTATGATGAACTACATTTGAAAAATATTTCTTGAATATCTAAAATGTGTCAGGCAAATATACTGGGGTTGTAGCAGTGGGGGAGGGGAGGCAGAAACCTCCAGAAACCTTTTTATGTTTTTAATCAGCTTACATTTTAAGAGAAACAGAAAGAAAGAAAGAAAGAAAAATAGAGAGCAGATTGGTTAACCACAGAGTTAGCAATAGGGGAGGTTGGTACCGCATCTTTATCAGCCATACATACATTCCTCAGTTCAGAAGATAGGAGCAGGTGAAAATCAAATCCCAAAGTCCTAACAGATGAAAGCCTTTTCTTCTTCCTTTCCTCCCACAGCTAGAGGACCCTGACAGTATACACTATTAAATACCAGTCTTATAGGAGGAACAGGTAGGAACCTCTGCCACTAAGCTGAGAAGAAAATAAACTCCTCGATCTTCCTGTAGAGCTACTAAAGGATCAATGTACCCAAGTACGTCGTTAACATAGTTAACAGATGAATACCACCTCCTTCCTTCTCTTGCCTAGACAAGTTTTTCTATGAGCCTTTTGCTAAGGGCTTGGCGATGCTACAAAAACCCAAAGTCATCCTAAGGTAACCATAAAACACACAACATGATGAAGTACGTAAATGGAGGTCACTCAGTGTCAGAAACTGGCCCAGTCCTTTAAATGTTGCTTAGCAACAACCACTGGTTTTCCTCCTCTTTAAGGGAGGGCCCAACCACATTGACTAAGGCAATCATTGCTCTCCTCCAAAAGTATTTATGAAGGGCTCACTTATGTTGTCGGGCTCTACACCAACTAAGAAAGGCAGACTTGGCCTTCAAGAGTAGACAGGAGCTATCTTATACATTCTAGTAATGTAGTGTGCAATTAGCTCTGGTTAGTATGTGAGACGTATTAAGGAATGGAATGGATAGAATGATATTTGAGGTTAAGACTGAGGAGACAGTTGGGAGCACAACCTAATTAGCTTTTGGGATCTGACTCTCAGCTAGAAATTGATTCTTTAGAGCCAGAAGACAGCTATGAAATAATGGATGAATCTTAAAGTTCATGCTCAGTTGTCATCAGGGTTTTAAAAAAGCCACTTGGCCACTGAAATGTAAAATAAGTGGAGTACGATTTGGGGTTCTACCCCTAACCTTTCATGAACCATGATACATTAGGCTGCTTCTTACTGCCTGAGTTCTTTACTCACCAGCCACCAATACTTCCCCAAAAGCAAAACAACTTCATCATAACTGAGGAAAGCTGATCAGATCAGAAATAGAACAAGTCTACAAGTAGAAGTCACCAACAAGGAAAACAAGCATTTATCATCTCTCCAGACTTTTATATTCTAGGACTCTTAGAATCTCCCTTCCTACTTATCCAATTATGTGTTTAGTCCATTTTGGGAAGTAAGATAGTCAAATAAAACTGTGCCCTGGGGTTCCAACACTGAAAAGGAATAAATATTAGTTACTCTTCAAATGTAATCTTGAATTCCATACCCAGCACATTATTTCAACAATGAATGTGGCTCTGCTGCTAGTAGATATGGATTCTGATTTTCTTTTAAGAGTCTGCCTTCACAAAAAAAAAACCAAAACACGTTAGAAGCTAGCCAGAATTGTGGCCAAAGCCTCTTTCCAACCTAGACAAGCAGATTTTGTGAATGAAACCTTAATAAAGCAAATTCCTCCATCTGCCTCTTGAAGATCACGCTCAATGTTAGTAAGCAATGTTAGAAAGGACCTGACTTACTTAAATCACAATGAATTTGAAAAGGGATAGCTCTTTATACACATATACATATAGTACCTCCTAGGTTAAACAGTAATATTCTTGTTGTGGGGTATCATTGAGTCAGTACTGACTCGTAGCTGATCCTTCAGAAGATTTTCAAAGGCAGTAAGTCGCACAGATGGAAATTGTCCTTCCCCCAGCAGAGCAACTGGTGGATTCGAACAACTCATCACAACTAAGCCACCAGAGCACTCTCTCTTTCTCTCAGTATGTATTTAAATAATATAAAATGTCATTTAATATATTTAGTATGTATTATTAAATATTTAACATATTATTATTTCTATAACATACATTTTTATATGTGTAACTCTAGTGATCTTAGTGGTCAGGGAGTTGCACTATCAGCACAAAGCAGGCAAATTGAATCCACCAGCTGCTCTGGGGAAGAAAAATTAGCAGTCCTCTCCCACGGGATTTACAGCCTCAGGAAACCATTCGGAGGGTCAACTATGAGCCAGTTCTGACTCTATGACCGTGAGTTTGTTTCACATATATCTC